TTCAGATTTCTCTGGTGTAATTACTGTTACTCCAGTTCATCACTGTTGTTGAACAGGAAAACAGGACCTTCATTTTTTTGTGTTCTTTGGCATTTCCTTTATTCTCATTTTTTTCTCCTACTGCTGTTGCTATCGTCTGGTCAACGTGCAAGTTCTTGCAATTGGTTTATTTCTGCTCAAAAAGAAATTTAACAAATCTCTAAACTTTTGTCGAAAGCTGCAATAATTAAACATTTAACTGTTATTGCTGCTGTAGTCATTGTTATTGTTATTGTTGGACGATAAAGATGATGCAAGAACGAGAAACAATACGGATCGCTCCGGTTGGAGGTAAATGAATTGATAAGTTTTGATTATCAATAAGTGTTGAAATATGAATTACTTTTTTTGACAGCGTTCATCATCAGTATTCATTGAAACTTTTGATTAATCGTTTTTCGTATAAAAAAATGGTTGTTTTTTCTATTCTTTAAAGCTGTACAATCACATGTCTTTACTGACTAAAAATGAAAACAACGGGGGGAGAGGGAGAAAAGAAGATGAGAGAGGAGAGTGAAAAGACAAAATGAAAGGTAGGATCTGATAGAGTAGCCGTCTCTTGTTGACTTGCGGTTGCCGTTTTTTGTTATTGTCGTTGCAACTGCTGCTGATCGCTGAAAAGCGGTAGTGGAGGCGGTAGCGGTGGTGACGGCTGCAATAACAACATTGACGATGGTACTAACCAAAATTTTTACATACTGCAGAAACTTGAGAATTTTAGTTGTATTTACGTTGTTTTTTGCTCTTCTTTTATCTGCTGTCTTATTTACCAGGTTTATTTTGTTTTGAAAAGCTAAAAAAAGAACGTTAAACCGTTAAAAAAAAAACGAATGCTAAAATAACCAATACAAATTTATTTACTCTCTTCACTGTAGACAAATTCGATAAAACTTTGGAACTAGTATAGAAAAAAAAGAAATGTAAATGAAGATACAGGAAAAAAAAGGCTATATTGGTTGTACCAAAACATCTGCATATGCCTTCTGTACATATGTGTATATTTCATAAGTGAAGTAACCGGTGAAGTGAGAGAGAGAGAGAGAAGGGAAAAGGAAGTGGAGGTGGAAAATGGGATGTGGGCAGTAAAGATTGTTAAGCAGAATTTATATGTTGTTGGCAGGAAAAAATGAAGAAGATTTGTCGAGGGAAAACACTGAAAAAAGGAAGCAAAAAATGGTGAAAAAAAAAAAAGATGAAAACTTTTGTAATGAGCAACAGCGGCAGTAATAACAAAAATGCACAGACACACAAAAAAAGGTAAATGTAGGAATGGCTGAGCTGTAAAAGAATATTTGAACATCAAATTTCGGTTTCTTTATTCCCCATGTTTTTTCTCTCGTGCCTGCTTTTTGAACAGCAGCAGCAACGAAGAAGAAAGGAAAAAGGAAAATAAGAAATTTATTTACTAAAGTGTTCAAAAATTAAAAATGTCTTGGTGCGAAAGAAAACGGCTTCAAAGTGAACTGTGTTGGTTTTCAG